ACGCCTAAGTTAATACAATGTGACAGTTACAATTAATTGTTTTACAACATCACAGAATTTTAAATGTTTGAGAGACAAAACAATTTTATTGCTCGCTCCAATATCGGTCACTTTGACATAGACTTTTAGAGCAGTTCTATTCATTTATTTGTTTCTTAAGGAATCCTTTTCAAAGTTTTTTCATTGAAAGACTCTCGTTATGAAACAGACATTATAGCTTAAATTCACTTTGAAAGCAGAAATTACAAAAAACTAGCTAAGGATTGCCAAATACATTCGCACTAGGAGAGAAGATATTTATATTCAATCATGACGCTCCACTACTTCCTATCCTTTTATAGCTCTCAGCAATGATTGTATTTTCACTATTGCACACAGTCTCTATTCTGCTATCCATATACCCAAGCCTTTTACTCGTTGTTTCTCTTACTTTCAGTATGTCTTTTGAGTGTCATATTTCCCAAGCCCTCTTTTCATTGTAACATCATTTCTAATACGATCTCCGAGGTTAAGCAATGTCAACCCTGGTTAGTATATAGATTGGTGATATTTATGAATACCAGGTGCTGTAAGCTTGGATGGGCGACTGATTTAAGGGATAACGGCTGGTTTAATGGGAAACGGATAACTGGAAATCGGAGAGCCGTGTTCCAATTCCAGTCGGGTTCGTTATATTCACTTACGCGTAAATACCCTTGGGATTTGTATGAAACCACATTTTCTCCCCCAAGCTATGGGTTACTTCGTATGACTTGTATCATTAAAATCTTTATTGTCTCCAAAAAACTTCTTACTATCTAAAAATAATTTTAGGCTTTAAATAACCTCCAAAAGGGTTGATAAGCTGTAAAAAATGTAATTAATCAACCAAACACTATTTTCTTTCATATGTGTCTCTTCCCGATTCTAAATGCTAGTGTCCTAAATTACATTATTTATATTGTTCAGACTGTTGTTCTCATCTTTACTGCCATATTAACGACGTTTCAGGTGATTGGAATTGCGAACTGGACTCTTTATTTCGTCCACCGGGGTAGATTGTTCTAGATCCACGTGCCATGCCCATCGATTGGGCCATGTACAACGGCCGAAATTTCGTGAATATGGCAATAAAATGAGCACGAAAGTTCGAGCAATGTAAATAATATAAATAATTACAATACCTTATCTCAGAAGTAGAGGTAGATGCTGAAGAAGGACGGAGCGTAAGACGGCCGAAACGTCGTGAATTTGGCAATAATGTTGAGTCCTACTATTGATTTCACTTGGTCCTGTGAGTGTCAAAGCCTTCTTCATTGTGGCATGTGTCCTGAAGGAGACATGGCACAGTGAATAAAGACATTAGTTAGATCCAGTGGCAGGACCCAAAGAGTGTGAGTTCAATACCTGGTTAAGGCGGTGGAGAACTTGGAGAGGGAAATTAACAGGAGATAGCTGATAATTGACTTCTATTAGACGTGGAACTAGAACAATCTACCCCAGCGTGCGAAATAAAAGGTTTAGTTCGATATTCCAACCACCTGAAGAAGGCCGGAGCGTACAACGGCTGAAACGTTGTGATAAATATGGCGACAAAGATGAGGACAACAGTCCGAATAATGTAAATAATGTACATAATACCTCATCTCAAAAATATAGACAGATACATTCTTTACTCATTATCCGTCCCATTTGAAGAGGAGATGAATTCATGTCTTATCTCAAGGATATTTGGCGCGTAATCGAATTCAACAAAACCGATTGGATTTCGAACTCTGCTCTTTGACGGAGTGGGGAATTGCAGCAGAGTCATGCCTTTCATTTTGTAATAGACCAAGCCGGAATTTAAACTTGATTCCACTTTCGGTGCCTGTAATCTTCATCCTATCAGTAGATTTTAGGTTTACTATTGGACAACAACAACAACAGCAAAAGGAAAAAGAAAAGGAAAAAGAAACGGGTTAAAAGCGAAGGATTTATCTAAGAATTCCGAGCAGCATAAAAACCAGAAACTAAATTTTCACATTCTTTTATCACTCGGTTTCTGAAGGCCAACTTGGTCTGTGTTTTGTTTTCAATCTAAACAAGTTTAACGGATTAAGATCGGCAATTCGTTAAGGGATGTTTTTTAAAAAATTTTCCAAACAAACATAAAAAAGAGAAATACAAATCGCCAACCTTGCTCAAGTATCAATGGCATCCATTATTCTTATGGGAATTTACCATTTTATTTGATCTGCAACTTCTGATGTCTTCCTAAGGGAATTTCAAAACACTTCTGTGATTAATTCTTCCTTATCTAACCGTTTTGCTTTTCGAGTTTTTCACTATCTAGTCTTGGGATTGAACTCACAGCTTCAAGAAGACCATATAAGCTCTACCACTTACATTGAATTTTTTTTCCTTTGGAGTCTGTTTTTAATGAGAAAAAACACTGATTATGAAAATTATCAGGTCATCTCATAAGTTCTGTCCAAATTTTACCTTTTTTTTTAAATGAACGAAATTTAAAGAGTAGTTTATAATGTCTAATGGAGCTGAACATTATTTTTATGTTTAGATGAATTTAAACTGATGAAATTTTATTTCAGAGAACAATAAAATTAAACTTTGTTTGATTAAAACCCTGCTAACATGGAAGTACCCAAGAATCATTTGAGGCACATAATGCTTTATGAGCTCAAGAAAGGAAACTCAGCAGCCGAAGCGGCTAGAAACATTCACTCAGTTTATGGAGAGGAATGTGTGAGTGAAAGAACTTGTAGAAGATGGTTTGCAAAATTCAGAGGTGGAGATTTCACCCTTGAAGATGAAGATCGAACCGGACGACCAGTTGAGTTTGATGAAAAGCTTCTTGAAGCAGCCCTTGAAGAAAATCCTGCTTTATCAGTTGAGGAACTGGCAGTGGTTCTCAGTTCAAACCATACAACTGTTCATCGTCATCTTCAATAACTTGGAAAAGTTCCTAAACTTGGAAAATGGGTGCCTCATGAATTGTCTGAAAACAACCTGAAATCCCGAGTTGACATCTGCTCTTCTCTCCGTTCTCGCGAACTTGTTTCACCTTTTTTGGATAGACTTGTGACTGGTGACGAAAAATGGATCTTTTATCGAAATGTTAAGCATCGTAGACAGTAGCTTGGTAAAGGGGAAGGACCCCAGCCACAGCCGAGAAGGGAACTTCATGGGCAAAACGTTCTTCTTTCAATCTGGTGGGATCGCCAAGGAATAATCCACTTTGAATTCTTACCACCTAATGCAACAATTAATGCTCAAATATACTGTCAGCAATAAGAGCGTTTGAACCAACCTTTGAGGAAAAAAAGAACTGCTCTAGTGAATCGAAAAGAGGTGATGTTTCATCAGGACAATGCGCGACCCCACACAGCAAGAATCACGTCACAAAAGATCGAAGAACTTGGTTGTGAGAAAATTCCTCATCCAACTTATTCTCCCGATCTTTCTCCTTCAGACTACCATTTGTTTCGTAGCTTACAGAATCATTTGGAAGAAGCAGCTTTTCTAACAAAAGAAGTGGTTAAAACTGACATTTGTAAGTTCTTCGAATCAAAGCCAAAAGAATTTTACAGTAATGGAATTAGTAAGCTTGTTAATAGATGGAAGGAAGTTATAGATAATCAGGGAAAATACATTGTTGATTGAATCTGTAATTAAATGAAACACTTGGTCACTTGTTTCCTTTATTCAAAATTCGGACAGAACTTATGGGATGACTTGATAGTTTAATTTAGACATAATACCTGTGTGATTTTGCATTTCTTTTGGCTTTTTAATATAACTGACACCTGTAGTAAATAGCAGGCAAAGTTTTAGAATAAAAAAGAACAGAAATAAGGAAAACTGTGACATTATGCTTGTGACGCCTGCATAGAAGAGCACGGTGTATGATTTTGCCTCAGCATTAAGTATTTCGTGCTATATGACCCGCAAGAGATCCGTGAGACAGTGTCTACAAAATCTGTCAAACACTTAAACAAAAATATTAGGTAAACAGATGAAAACTTTCGGGAACAAGTGGCAGAAAACCGGGCGTTGATGGTTTCCGTTCGTACGCGTATACTAACACAGTTGACATTGAAAAAAATGTCGGGGTTCACTTTACCGGGTGTATGCTGTACGTCGAGCCGGTTTTCTGGACCACTCTTTGTGAAATCAGCAAAGAAGGCCGGAAGTTGCAACGGCTGGATGGCTATGATAAAAATGACAAAGGCGAATAAAATATTTCGACATGATCCATGTAAAATAGTAAAAAAAAATATTTTAAAATAACACGTCTTTCAAGATGTAAAGGATTACGTCTCTCCACAGCTTCTTTTATTTAATATCTGCCAACTGCTACGACTTAAAGTGGTTTTCAAATGCATTCGTTACAGTTTGCAATTTAGACTATTTTTTATACACTACCTGTCGTTAAAGGTTAGAATATCCATACTGTATATCCTATTATTTAATCTATAGATGGGTGAACAAGAAATTAATTTTTGAATTTTATTTTATAACGGTGTTTATACGAAAAGGAATGCAACTTGGCAGAGATTCGAAGTCAGTTCCTCAGTTTCATTGTCTGCGTCTAGAACTGTGGCGCTACCAGTCTCAGCAATTCAGACATAAATTGATTTTTCGAATTATTAATGTCTGTCTTCAGGTTACATTTACCAGAATTTGAGGACTGGGCGGGAAAAAGAAGATTACCAGCGGAACAACTGACTAAATTGGTCAGAATCTTCTTCATGCCACTAGAGAATTGCAACGAATAAAAAGTTGCCAAATCGCATTCGCTTCAAAGCAGAGACGTTTCTTCAGTAATCTTTCGTCAACATTTCTTCTTTGTTTAAATCTTTCGGCTGACATTTTGACTTCGAAATAACGCCATGTTCTTTTGTAACCGTCGTCGCTTCAACGTTTGCTGCTAATGGGAAGTGAATTGATTTTCACAGCTTTTGATTGCACAAGGATATGCGCGAAATTTACTGTTCCCGACAAAAACTAATAAGAAAATAATGAACGGCTTTGAAAAACCATTTTGTTTTCTGTTTTTTTTTCTTACCTATTTTTTTCTTTTTTTTACCTTTTTTTTTCCTTTTTTTCCTTCACAGACATTCTTCTTTGTCTTCATTCACGTGTTTTCATTCCGAATTTCTTTTTTTCTTCCTATTTTCACCTTCTTTTCAGATCTTTGATCTTTATGTGTTCTTTTGCATTTAAAAAAAATTTTATTTATGAAAATAATGTGATTTTTTTCATGCTATCTTTCTTTGTCAGTTCTTTCTTTTTTTTTTCATCTTTCTTTCTTTCATTCATTCATTCATTCTTTCTTTCTTTCTTTCTTTCTTGTTAGACATTTTGTTATTTTAACTTGTTTTTTTCTGTCCTTTTTTCCTTGAGAGTAGGTTTCTGTCTTCCTTTCTTTCTCTTCACCCTTTCTTTGTTTCTTTTCCTTTCTGTTCTTTAACATTTCTTTCCTTCCTTAGAATCAGATCTCTTTCTTTCTTTCTTTCTTTCTTTCTTTCTTTCTTTCTTTCTTTCTCGGCCAATTTGTTTATTTGCCTTTCTTTTGCTTTCTCTTTTAGATAAATTTCTTTCTTTCTTTTATTTTTTTTCTTGACCAGTCTATTTTCCGTGCGCCCGTCCATTTTTCTTTCTTTTTACGTACCTTTCTTTCATTGGAGTCATTTTCTTTCTTTCTTTCTTTCTTTCTTTCTTTCTTTCTTTCTTTGAGATTAACTATGGTCACTTTTGGTTTGGTTTGGTTTGGCTTGGATAGGTTTGTTTTGTTTTACGGCATATCAACACCTTAATGGGTTATTTAATGCCGGCCAGTTTCCTTCATATATATCGATTAAAAGGTCTTAATTGATGCTTAGCGAGTCTAGAGCAAGTAGACTTGTCGGAATCTATCCCTCTCCAAATCAAACCACAGCAAATATCTTACAACTAGAAGAGTCGCCTTGTTCGCCAATACGCGGCCGTTGATTCCATCGGGGGAACACCCTCTTGTCTTACCGTTGTCTTCACCCAAGGAATCCTTCCACCCGGCGATGCAATGCCATCGCCGCGCCAGCTGTATTCATTGTGAGACGAGTCTGCACTATTATGCTAGATGGCCTTTGAGTTTGCATATCAGAGCGTGGATAAAGAGAGACGTTAAAAAGTCGAATGTTATAAAAAGGAGAAAGCTGTGGAGAGCCATGATTGCCCATACCCTAAAAGAAGAACCAACATAAAAATAAATGTATACTGTACGTTTCTGTGAACTATTTCATTTCTGTTCAGGGCCATTCAATAGAAAATTCTTTTTGTTGCAGTATTCGCCATTGTCAATGCTTCGGTTGGAAAAGTGATATTTTTTTTTGCCTCGGTAGCTCTGAGCGTATTTATAGGAGTTACATCCTTTGTTGCAATAATATGATTTGACAAAAGTAATAATATTTATGCTTCGTTTCATTATAATCATTTTTTTTATTTTCGGTTTAATTTCAGATCAAATATGGAAATAAAAGTAATGAGTTTGTTGGCGACTGTGCTCACCGTATTCATTGTGCAGATAAACTGCGAAGACTTACACAAAATACGTAAGTTCATTTCGCCTTCTTGATAAAATTCTTTGTCATCAACCCTGTTTTATGATTAATTTTGTTTTCTATCAAGAAATTATCATAGATCTTCAGTATATAGAGACAGAAAAATAGATAGACAGATAGATAGAGAAAAATATATATATATATATATATATATATATATATATATATATCGAGATACAGAGACAGAGGATAGGGTTAGTGTTAAGGGCTAGAGTTAGTGCTAAAGGTTACGGGTTAGGATTAAGGGTTAGGGTTAGGGTTCGTGTTAGGTTAGAAATCAACACTGATTGGTAAATTAGTTTCAAGCGTCCAGAAATATTGAGCTTGAAGATCGCTTGATTCGTGAAATTTACTGTCACCATGCAGCGTTCAGTTATTTGACCACACACAGCCCCCCCCTCTCTCTCTCTCTCTCTATATATATATATATATATATATATATATATATGTGTGTGTTTTTGACAATAAAAAATATTAAAAAATTAAAATCGTGATCGGCCCCTCCAGTCCGAAAACCTCCTTCCTGAAAAATCGAGCATGGTGAGATTCGAACACGGGTTTCATGGTCAGAATGTGGACGTGATGACGATAATAATAATAATAATAATAATACAGGGACAAATATAGTAAAGAAAACGCCAGAACAGAACGGAAACTGTACAGAAAGTAAGCCTCGAGTGGCCAGAGAATTGGTACGAGCATTTGCTACCGTTTTTAGCCTAGTACACCTCACGTGGGACTATTCCTAAGAAACTCTGTCACCCGCAGTACGCTTTGGACATACCTGATATCATTGGGTGTTTGCAGGTGGCAGCGCCGCTTGGAACAGATCATGTACTGAGGAATGTCTTGCGTCTCGAAGCTGCGTGCAAGAGCTGAGAAAGGATCATCTTCATCCTGTCAAAACGTCAAAAATTCAGTGGGGACCTTAAACAACAACAACGACAATAATAATAATAATAATAATAATAATAATAATCTTAAAGCTGGACGAATGTATGGGAGGACGCCAATCTACTAGGCCGGTTAGCCAATCCCTGTTGCAGACGCATGCTCAGGTACATTTGTGTTTGTTCAACACTTACAGAGCCCACTTCTGGTTTATATTGCAACCATACAGAGCGGATCTCAGTTACAGTTTCTGGGAGTGATATACAGCCTGTCCAAGGACATCACGTTCAAACTCTCGGTCACGATGACTTGTGACTTTGTGCTAACACAACCATCGACGACTCCCGTATGTTTCGGTGGTTTGGTTTTGCAGGCACTTCTCCAGACCAATAACCTTCCTGACAAATCGACAATGGTGAGATTCGGACCCGGGTCTCATGATAAGAAAGAGAATTAAAAATAATACCGTGATAACCCATTCTTAATCATTAAGATTAAAAAAAAATGAACCTGCCAACTGATTGATATGATTTTCTCACAAGAACCTAAAAAGAAAAAGAAAAAGAATATAAGAACCTGTCAAATTAGAAGGACTTGTAAATCGACGTAAAAAAATATCTGGAAACTTAAAACTACAATTATCTGTTGGGATTGAGACATTGGGTGTTATAAGAAAGTGTAGCAAAGATCATGTGACTAAAATTCCTGAATACATGAAAGCTACCAAAAAAGACGAGTTTTGATTTTCCACGCAGTCATAACGGAATAGTCTATTATTTATGAGGTATTAGCAGGAGACGTTAAAAACTTCATTTTTCTTTCTTTCTTTCTTTCTTTCTTTCTTTCTTAAAAACTTGTTTGTTTGTTGTTTTGTTTCTTTCTTTCTTTGAAACCAAGTATTTACTCTTCTTTCCACGCAATCATAACGGAATAGTCCATTATTTATGAGGTATTTCTTTTGGTTGGACTTATTTTGAGTCCGCCATGTTTATAGTGGGCTTTTTATTTCAGGAGACCTCACGTGTTTCATTTCGCAGCGCGTATTAATACCACCGTCCGCTACGAACATCTTAGACAAAGCTATATCCTAAAGTATTGAGTGTTTGGGTTAAAATTGGCCTATGGGAGGTCCCAACATTCCATATATGGCACATGGCGTTTGTTGAAAGATTTTGTGAAAACTTGCCCTCTTATAGACCGTCAAATATCGCCATTTTCTCCTCGCGATATATAACCTTTCCGTTTGTAATTCCCGCTTTTTTTTTCTCCTTTTCAGAAACAGACACTTCCGGCATTTCTAATTTTATCGGTCTACCAGATGCAGAGGAGGGTGAACTTGTAAGATCCCCAATTGTTGACGAATCAGCACTCGGTATTGACGATGTCGACAAACGAAACAGCCTCTTCCGATTCGGCAAGCGTGGAAACCTCTTCCGATTTGGTAAACGCGGAAACCTCTTCCGGTTTGGTAAGCGTGGCAACCTCTTCCGTTTTGGACGCGGTGGCAGCAAGGACGACCCCGAAAACGAAGGACTAAAACGCACCATCTTTAGATTCGGTAAAAGAGACGGACTCGAAGACCTTTACGACTACGAGGATCCCTCAGCACAACAGGCGGCAGCAACAGCTGGAGATAAGCGCGGTTCTTTCTTCCGGTATGGACGAAGCCGCACTTTCTTTCGATACGGTAGAAGCACTGATAAGAACGCCGAGAAGAGGCCACACACACCCTTCCGATTTGGAAGAGAAGAAGAGTAAATAAATGACTCCATAGAATATAACATTAAAAAGATTAAAGAAAGACAGGAAGGAGAGAAAAGAAAACAAAGAAGACTTGAGTTAACAAAGCACGGGAAAGCAAAATAACAAAGATTTGGAAAAAAAAATTATAAATAATAAAATGAATTTTATTAATAATTCTATGCTACTTTAATTTTATCTCTTCTCTTCTTTTCCTTGCAACGTTTGCGGTGTTACTGTTGCTTTTTCAAGGGACATAACTCTGTTTCGTTTTTTTCTTCTTATCCGGCAGATTCATTCGTGTTTATATCCCTTCGCAAATAGGTCTCTGTTTCTTATTAAAATTAAATGTTTTGCTTTATTTTTCTATTTAAAAAAAAAAATCCAGAAACAAGAAGAATGAAAATCTATCATTCAATCCAAGTAAGGTAACAAAGCCACTAAGATACAAGGGGTTACCGATGGAGAAATAATACGAGAAAAGCAAAAACATTATTAAAGAGAGAGGAACAAATAAAAGAGCAAGAATTAAGAAGATAGAATATAGCGATTGACATTGCATTTAAATATTTGAAGATCACACTTGAGCAAAACAGGAGTTCCACAAGCGAGTAGTGCGAGAAAAAAAAATTAGGATAGAACCTACGGTTACATCTAGCCACTTCAAATTTAAAATGATGAGACCCATCCGAAATTTAGTAATGCTCTTTTATTAATTTATAAAGTCTAGGAAAATTAATCTTAACAATTATCCTGAAATTATTTAAAGACAATGCTACATTACAGGGTAGGAAAAGTGACTGAAGCCGTGGTGCCAGGTCAGGACCAATAACATTGCTGATTCTTCTTTGGGTTTTATCAAGAATCTCTAAATATAGAGCAGAAGTACCAGACCAGATGTGGCAGCAATATTCAATGCATGGATAAATAGAAGATACATTACAGCGGAGGGAAAGTGAACGAAGCCGAGATGTCAGGTCAGGACCAATAACATTGCAGATTCTTCTTTGGATTTTATCAAGAATCTCTAAATATTTAGAAGAAGCACTATACAATATGTGGCATCAATATTTAAAGCATGGACGAATGGCAGGCTTTTGAAGAGATAGATTCGGATGAGAAACAAAATGTATCGTACATCACGGTGAGTCAACATTTGTGGCAGCAAATTTAGCATTGAATTCAATCAAGTTTTTCCAACATTAGCCAATAAAGCAAAATGGGTCACTTTCCTGAAAGATAGCATCAGCCATGCAGAAGGAAGATAGAAAGGCTTCGTCTTGCAGACGAGTAAATGAAAGTAGTTTCGATTTGAAAGCGTTAAAATGAACAAACCGTGGCTACTATTGACATCAGTTTTCATTACAACTTTCAGACCGTCAATTTACGACTGGTAGAATGCAACGCTGAAATAAATACTAATTTCACTCTAGTTTTGATTTGCGCTCTCAGATAATGATCGAAGGATGACGATCAGACATCTGTGATAAAAACAACAGAAATAAATTGAACATATTTTACAATATTTCATCTAATAAATTCAAATAATATTTACTAGTACATTTTAAATATATATATATATATATATATATATATATATAAGTACATATATAAACACAGATCAATATAATTATATAGAAACATATATAAATATACTATATATATATATATATAAACATAAATTCAACTAATATTTACTAATATATTTAAAATATTTATATTGAAATTAATATAAATATATATATATATATATATATATATATATAATTATTTATTTAAAATGATTCGAACGCTACATAAGAGATCTCATGTTTCAAAATAAGAATGAAAACTTCAATATGATTATTTGAATTAAATTGAATTAAAGTACTAAGCTCTGTTCCATCTTGAAGCGAAATTTTTTGGGAACAACTTATTCCTGAAATTTACGCGTTATATTAAATATATATATATATATATATATATATATATATATATATATATATATATATATAAACAGATAAGTATATTTATATATAAAAATATTTAAATATTCTTATACATATATATATATATATATATAAACTTATGTTTATATATATATATATATATATATATATATATATATAAACATAAGTTTAAATAATATTTTCTATTTACTAGTATATATATATATATATATATATATGTGTGTGTGTGTGTGTGTGTGTGTGTGTGTGCATATATATGAACATATATAAATATATTTAGGGAAGAGGTTATAGTTGTTCCAACGAGGGAAAAGTGTATAATTTAAAAAGAAGATAAACCGCATACGTTTTTTGGTTGAAATGTGCATTTTTCATTTTAAAATATATATTATACTTTATTTTCTATAATTATACTCTATAATTTCTATAATTATACTCTATAATTTCTATAATTATACTCTATTTTCTATAATTCCTCTACACGGGTTGTTGTTTTCACCGCCTTCTTCAAGCAAAGAGTTGATATTTCCAAATATTATGAAAATTAATTTTTTACGTGGTAGTGATTCAAATGTCTTTTCTAGGAGACTTCGGTAAAACGAGTCGAGATCTCCAGTTACTGACGTGTTTATCTAAAAAATAAACACGTCTAAATTCACCTTCATCTCTGCCATGCGCGAATGGTTTAGGGCTAGAATCTCCGACCAAATCAATCAGGTTTCGATTCCAGTTTGAGGCAATCGGATGTCCTACACACTGATGAGCTGTGGAACAGCGAAGCAGTCTATCTGCGGATGATATATATATATATATATATATATATATATATATATATATATATATATATTCTAAATTAATTGATTTAAAATATGTTGTTTTTTTTTCGCTACACAGTTCCAACCATGTTTCAAAAAATAGAAGCTAAAACCCGAATTTAATTTGGCAATTAAATTAAAAGCATTAGTTCCATTTCATCTTCAAGCGAACCGGATTTTATATCTTACTGTTCTTTCTTTTTATTTATATATATATATATATATATATATATATATATATATATATATATATAGATATCAGTAATGAAAGTCTTGGTAATCCAGATGGATAGTCCCAAGGAGGATGAAATACTGAGAGCTCAATGTTAATTCAGAACGAATAATTTAATTTAAAGAAGAAAAAAAAAATGGAGAGCTTTTTAATGTTCCATTGTAATAATTTATTTCACCAGAGATTTTATTTTTCTCTGGATCTTCAGACTTCATTTTCAACGGTGAAAAAATGAATTTAAAATGTAAATTCAAGGTAAATTTGAAATTCATTTTTCAACCTTGAAAGTGAAGTCTGAGATCCAGAGAAAAATTAAATCTCTGGTGAAATAAATTATTACAATGGAACCTTAAAGTGGCCTGTTTTTTTTTTTTAAATGAAATTATATATATATATTTATATACATATACATACATACATACATACATACATATATATATATATATATATATATATATATATATATATATATATATATATAAACATAAATTGAAATAATATTTACTAGTATATAGAAACGTATATAAATATAAAATTTAGAGTAATAAGATATAATGTTAAATTTTTTAAAAAATCCCTTAATTGCGTAAAAAAATAATTGAAATAATGATTTAAAAATGAGTTTTAAAAATTGAGATTTCGAAAGATTCCCACGCCAAATGAGCATTTGTAAAGTAGATCGCTGATTTATTTTAATCACCGTTAAAAATCGCATGTTCTTATAGCTGGCCATACGTATTCGAGCATACCCGTCTACTAGGGCGGCTACCCAATCCCTATTGTCGAAGCTTGTTCAAAAGCGCATTTGTGTTTATTCAACGCCCAAAGAGCCTACCTGTGGTTTATACTGCAATTATGCTGAGCAGACCTTAGTTATAATTTCTGGGAAAGAGTGGGTTATCAAGTGTGATCAACAAATTGAACAAAGTCTGTACGCTCAAGGGCTCGGCCATGATGACTTGTGTCTTCGTTTCTAGCACAGCTATCGACAACATCCAATTTCACTCACAAGGCTTGGGTAAATCCGTATGATTTTCAGGTACTGTCCAAAGGTGCCGCACGCTTTGATCGACCCCTTCAGGCCGATAACTGCAGGAAGTCTCCTTCTTAGCAAATCGACCATGGCGAGATTCGAACCTTAGACTCATGTTCAGAATGCGAGCGTTCTAACCACTTGGCCACGTGGTCATAAAAAGCCACGTCTACTAACTGAATATAGCATTTATATGCAGAGGAAAAAGGAATAATTTTGGACTTTTTAAAAATCAATTAATTGATTATATATAATTATCTATATAATACGGACGTCCATTACATTCGTCGCACATCAGAAAAGAAATTAGACGGGAAAAGGATAACTAAATGACTCCAGATTACATGAATTAAAGGTTTTAAAAAAGACTATAAGATAGATTAAATAGTTTGATAAGCTTCAATAAATAGTTATTTTTTATTTTTATATTATTTAATCATTTCAAACAAGTCACTAACGCCACTAACACAGAGTAATTATGGATTGTGAAATTATAAGAAAAAGAAAAGCATTATTAAAGAACAATAAAAGAAGATGAATCAAGAAGTCAGTAGACAAGGATTGGCATTACATTTTTGAAGGTCAAAGTTGGCTAGAAAGTAAGAAGCCAGAAGGGAGTTCCACAAGCGAGAAGTGTAAAAAAGAAACTATATAGAATTTATGGTTACATCTATCCATTTCAACTATAAAATGATGAGACCTTTCCGCCAATCTAGCACTGCGCTTACATTCAAAAAGTTTGGGTACCGTAGAGAAAATTTCATAAGAACAATTACCATGAAGTATTTATTGAAAAAGCATAGGGAAGGTACGTTATGGCGGCTGGAAAGTAACTGAAACCGAGTTGACAAGCCAGGATCTATGACATTGCATTCTTGTTCTTGTATTTTGTCAAGGGTCTCTAGATGTAAGCTGAATCTCCAGATCATATGTGGCATCAGTATTCAAAGCATAGGCTTATTTGATAGGTTCGATTTTTAAATAATTGTCTAGCACAATATATTGAATCGATGTTCTTAGCAGCAGACCAAGTAATTGATTCAATATACTCCCTTCAATATATTACTCTCCTGGTGGTCAGCATCAGCCATACTGATTGAAGGCAGAAATGGTTCTCTCAGACGTCTACATTACGAGATAGTGAATGATTTTCATTTCATTGACCATGGAGAGGATGATATCAATCAATGATTCTCTCTGTATATGTTTTGTTTTCGTATATGTAAAACTGTTCGGAGCAAATCAATTAAATAAATAAACCAAATCATCAAACGATATTTTAGTGAGCCAAATAATCGAAACATTAGAAGAAACAAAGGATAAAATGGTAGAGAAATTCTTTGGAAGATATATCTTTTTTGTAGTATTTAAAATGGGAATGCTCTACACCAAAGCTATGTGCAGAAAGACGCAGTGGGGCATGTGATGAAAGCAAGACAAATAAAAGAAGTGAAAACAAATCTGTCGAAGATACGATGTGATAATTATTCCTTCAATGAATTTCAAAAGACTTGTCTAACGAAAACATTAAATATGATTGAAGCTTATGTAAATGAAAAATTATTAATAACAACGAAAACAGCAAGATAAACACAACTAATGTGAGAAAAAAGCAAGATAAGCTAAACACAACCAATGTAAGAAAAAAGCAAGATAAGATACAAAGAATTAATAAAATTTATTAGTGGGTTAGGTAGGTTGATTTTATGAGACTACAACTTTTATCAGCTTATTTAATGTTAAAATAAAATTTTATTATACGTGGGATAAACAAAAAGAGATTAAATGTATAAATGATTCTACAGATAAAGATGGCTGTGTTTATACCTGAGGCTATAGGCAAATAATGGTCGGGATTATACTTGAGGCTTCTAGCTAAACATTAGTCATGTTTATAAATTCACCTACACACACAAATTGGTCGAGTTTATACTTGGTTTAATAGGCAAAGATTGACCGGGATTGCACTTGAGTCAATAGTCAAACATTTGGGATCAGAGGTAAATATTAGTTTCGTTAATACTTCAGTCTATAGACAAATATTGGTCAGCTTTATGCTTGGGTCTATTGCTAAACACTAATTGGGTTGATAATTCAACCTATACGCACATATATGCCGAGCTTATACTTCAGTCTACAGGGAAACATTGATTGTAACGATACTTGAGTTTACAGACAAATAATGGTCAAGTTTATACATAAGTATATTTGCAAATATTGGTCAGCTTTATAACAATGGTTGGATGTTTAAGATATACAGGCCTGGTTCCTACTTCAATTTATATGTAATATTAGTAGTATTTATGCTTGAGTGTATAGGGATATATAGGTCAGGTGTATACTTGATTTTATTGGTAAATATTGGTAGGGCTTATGCTTGAATTCATAAGTAAATATTTTTTTTGATTTTTGTTTTTGTTTTCGTTTATGTAAAACTGTTCTGTGAGGATGACTTCATGAATAAATAAGCCAAGTCTTCAAATGAAAAAGTGAGCCAACCAATCGACACATTAGAAGGAACAAAGGATAAAATCGCAGAGAAATTCTTTGAAAATAATTATATCCTTTTGCAGTATTTAAAATGGGAACGCTCTTCACCAAAAACAGAAAAATACGCTGTGGGGTTTGTGATGAAAGCAAGACAGATAAAAGAAATGAAAACAAACCCGTCAAACGTAATTATTGACAATTATTCATTAGAACTTGTCTAACGAAAACATTAAAAATGAATGAAAGGTATTCATATCTATCTATCTATCTATCTATCTATCTATCTATCTGCTTGATTTTATAGTGATATATAGGTCACTTGATTTTATTCGTAAACATTGGTATGGGTTATTCTTGAGATTATAGGTAAATACAGGGTGTCCATAAGTTTCGTGTGCACGTTAAAAAAAATTATAACTTTATTTGTATTTGCAATAGAAATAATGTGTAAAAAGGATTAGAAAGAAGTAAATCTATATTTTTTAAGATTTCATTGAAATTTTATTTAATTTTCCACATATCCGCCATCATTAGCAATATAAAGGGTAATACGATTTTGCAGTTTACGGAAAACATTTGCCAACTGATTTACAGCAATGCCTAAAATGCCATTAGTTATTTTAGCTATACTTAAAACTAGGTACATTAAACTATATAACATTTTTTTACAGATTATTTCTATCGCAAATACACATAGTTATACATTTTTTAAAGTGCACACGAACTTTATGGACACCCTGTATATACATAGCTATCATATATATATATATATATACAGACATACTATACATTTATATAAATAAATGCGAATGTCAGTGTGTCACACGTTTTTAAATTGACTCCTAGATGCCGTAGCGCAACAAATCATAGCATTTACAGTAATGCTTGGTGGTGGTGATGAAGATGAATATGAATTAAAGAGAATTTGACGAGGCCATTTGCGTGAATTTGATTTTGGAGGACAACCGCGACGGAGAAACGATGGCGATGACAATGATCAGATGGGAGCGGGTGCTGATAATTATGTGATTTCCCGCAAAATGGTACCTGAAATATGCGATGAAAATAACAAAAATAAGATTGATGATTTATTAGTCGAAATAATAATAATAATAATAATAATAATAATAATAATAATTTACCAAGTACAACTCTCATGGTTCCAGATCTAAACTGATTAGAGGTTTTAATATGTACAAGTTCAGTCTTTGTAAATGAAAATGTGCTGCAAGAAATATCCCGTTCGATAGGGCAGATTTTCCCGTCACATACTTGAACGTATCCAATCGAAAACCTTCCCTCAAAACCAACGCTCTGTGAGTCTCTGGTCATGAACATAAATGGCAGCGAGACATGGTGTGAAAATAAGTGCAATGTTCATAAGAACGGTATCTGTAATTCATTTTTTGCGTTATACACATTATACAATCGCCTAGGTCATCCTTAAAAATGATCTGCCAGCACAAGGAAAGTAAAATGTAGGAACATAGTGTTATAGCGGTTGCATGCGAGAAAGGTTTCTCTTGTAGTGTAATGAATAGCGAATCGGAGTATAAAATCAGAGAGCCGAGTTCAAATTCTTGTCAAATATTCTTAAAATTATTGTTTACCATGAAGTCCTATAAAATTAAATTTAATAAAAATAAACGATTGAAGCGCGAAGTAAGGTATTTTGTCGAAGTATTTTATCAACGAAATCAGATTATTCAAATTTCATCAATTGGTTTCCGAAATTGAGTTTGTAATTCTTGATAAAAAAAATTTCATCG